TTTCTCACAGCAAGAGTGCAAGAAAACATATTTGTTTTGTTTTACGCTCCTAAGTCTGTGGTAATTTGTTACTGAAGCAGTGGGAAAGTAATACACCAATCATTTGTGCATTTCAGAGTTAGGTGAGATCAATGATTGGTGTAAGTCCATTTGACAATATAGTCCCTTGTTTATCAACCACTGTATTTGCACTAGATGATATAGATTACTTAAGAGAAAAAAAGGGTATCTTAGGTATTCCTAAAATTAAATCACTTTTTAATATTCTCCTTAATATGTAGAATCAATTATATTCCACACGAACCATGCCAATGGTGTGTATGTGTCTTTAGAGATAACCAGTGCCCATCTGTGGCAGATAATATTTAAGTAATTTTATGAGCATTCTTTCTCCCCAGTGTGATCTATTCTATTTACATGAATATTTTTCTCTGTATTGCTGACACATTTCCTGGCTTATTGTTTTGCAAATAACAAACAGGAAATAAAACTATTCCTCATTCTGAAACTAATATATGTTGCTTAAACCTTAAAGTAAGAAGACATTGAAAATCTAATGGTTATTAAATAGATTAAATTAATAACACTGGATCAGTAAATTAACTGTAACAATTTATTCATTATATTTTAAAGTAAAAGAAGGTATAAAACTACTTTTTGGATACAAACATTTTTCCTTCCTTCCTTCCTTCCTTCCTTTCCTTCTTTCTTTCTTTCTTCTTTCTTTCTTTTTTTTTTTTTTTTTTTTTTTTTTTTTTTAGGGAGTCTTGCTCTGGCACCCAGGCTGGAGTACAGTGGCACAATCTTCACTCACTGCAACCTCCACCTCCTATGTTTAAGCAATTCTCCTGCCTCAGCCTCCTGAGTAGCTATGATTACAGGTATGCACCACCATTCCTGGCTGGGTTTTGCATTTTTAGTAGAGACGGCGTTTCAATGTGTTGGCCAGGCTAATCTGGGACTCCTGACCTCAAGCAATCTGCCCTACAGGCTTCCCAAAGTTCTGGGATTACAGGAGTGAGCCACTTTGCCCTCCGCAGGCCTGGAGACAAACTTTTCAACTTGACATTGTTTTGATTCAGGGTCCTCATAATTATATATTTTTCCATTTACAATATTTCATAATGTGTTAATTTGTGCTTAAAAATGTATTTATTCCAATAAAAATATTTACTGGATTTTTTTAGTTTAAATGAGTGTTTTGGATGTCATTATACAATATTTTGAGAGAATGTGGGAAAGTTATAGTTTATGTAATTTAGAATTTATTCCATAGTAAATATTACTGGACCACAATGTAGCAACTTTACATTTATGTACAAATTGTAATTCATGCTTGATTATAAATACTAGCTTCATGGTCATACCATTCTTACTTTAAATTAAGCAAGTAAAATTGTTTTGAAAATTTTAATTGCTGAAATATTTTCATTTGTTAAAAGACATATGCATTCTCCTCAGTCCTTTAGGGAAATATAGAAAGCTAATTTCACTTTATTCCATACCTTCATGTCTGGTTGAGGTAATTTTGCTTCAATGCCACTTTGAAAGGAGAGGTCCTTGTATTCCCCTCTCTCAGCTGAAAGTAATGAAGCATTACAATTCTCTCCCCATTCTATTAATAGACTTGCTACTGAAGCAGAAGAAATTCAAGGCCTTTTTTTAGATCTTGGAGAATTTTACAACAGTATCATGAGCAAGAGACCATAAAAATAGCAAACAAAGCAAAACCTACTTTCTGATGTGATAGGAGATTTAGTTTGCTTATCAAATACTTTATATTGATCTAGCATTTTTTCTTTCTCAAGCTAAGAGCACAATGGATAAATTATTTTGGTCTATGTTTTTAAATTGGGAGAAATTTTTTTAATTATCAATATTCTGAGGTAATAACATCAACATTTTAATAATTTCATAATATATAAATTGAAGTGAATATAGATTTGTTCTGAATTTGTTATTTCTCAAAATAAAATCTGATTTTGGGGGAAATGATTCCGGTAAGCCATATCAATTAGTTATTTTTTGCTATAATGTCTTAAATTTTCATGTAAACAAAACAAATGAACTTTGAAAAACATTAATTTAAGTAATTGTGGAAAATACCTACATATTGCATCTTGAATTTTATTTGCTATGATTCATACACTAAGCAAAAGTATCCACTATATACTAATTGCTGGAGAATGTAAGAAAATAAGGAATTAAATTATGCTGTTTCACTTGGAAATAGGATATTTACAAGTTAAATCAGTGGGTGTTTGCTTTTTCCCTCCTTCATTTGCTATAGTTTCTCACTAGCAAAACTTTTGTGTTCACTTGGGATGGGACTGTAATGGGGGGAGGGAGCAGAGGTGTCCTAAAGTCTCTTTCAGTTCCTCTATCCAACGTCCCTAGATCCTTGACATCTCTTACTCCAAGAATGGGGCAAGGGATCTCAGAGGCTCAGTGAGCTTACTGTTTGAATAAATATCATGGACCCAAAGAATTTAGCAAATAAGAGATTTAATAGGGAGAGGAACAGAAAGAGAAGGAAAAAGAGACAGAGCTCTCAGGCTGCCTGGAAGGGATGGATCCAAGGGAGGAAATCCTATGCGTAAGGAGCAGTGGGTTTTTAACCCTGGAGTTATTCCCGCCCCATTCATGTTTTCATCCAGTGAGAGGAGTTCTTTCAAACTGCTGGTGGAGTAATTGATCTTTGACTCTGATACTGCATTGGCTACTTGACCTGTAACAGAGCTCCCTCCTCCCAGAGCTTTCAGTGAGCTTTCTGAACAAAGAAGCTCACCTGGAATTTCTACCTAACTGGCATGCAAGAAAGTCAAAGAGCTTTACATTCCTGGATGGGGGCATGGATACAGGCATGGCACTAGGAAAGTCCTGCCTTTGAAACCATGCCCCTTGCAGACTCGGGAAGAGTTTTTTGTTCCTTAACACAGCCCCTCAGGACTAAATCTCATCCTCGTTTCTAGAAGTGGTCTCCAAGGGGACTAAACCTGTGGTTATCTATTCAGGGTGTATATTTGAATAATTCAGAAAGTTGTCTTGTTTATTGTTTTTAATATTAAGATTTTTAATATTGTTAACATAAATATCTAAACAAGTAATAATATACTTTCATTGACTTATTAATTACCTAAGAGGACATAGCTAAGATAGGCATACTTTTTAATGTCCATAGAGGATTTTCACATAGAGGCAACATTGAAAGTCACTAGATTACACTATTCAAGATAATCCCAACAATCTCATGCATTATGCATCTTCTTAAACTAATCAACGGGATATGCTGTCTTATCTAGTCTGCAAGACTTGACACAAAAGTAAAAATCAGTGTGGAAATAGGAACATTACCTGATGATTCTAGGGCACAGATGTCTCTCTTGCTTTTCAAACTTTAGAGTGCAAATATGATGTGTAAAACTGCCTCAGTCATTCAGAGGATGAAGCCAGCACAAAGATTGAAGTAACAAGAGAATCACAGAAATTTTGATATAATTTTTGTTATGTATCACTTGCAATATAGAACCTTCAGCATTTTCAGTGCAGTCAACAACAACAAAAAAAACTCTTTTCTTCTTTAATTAGAGTTGATGTTACCTTACTTCAAACTTAAATTATCTTGACTGATGTAAACAAAAAAATATATAGAGGTCCTTTAGCCTTGCACTTGCCATTTAATTTTACTTTAAATTCTTTTTATGTTATTTTAAGCATTGTACTCATTCTTAATTATAAAATATGTTTTATTTCTTCATGGGGACTGCCATATTTAATCTAGCCAGAAACAAAACAAAAAACCAAGTCAACATGGTGATGTATTTTCAGTAGTCAGGCAATATCTCAATAGCAAAAGATAAGAATGTCCCTGTAAATGCACAGATATGGACAAAAATGAATGTTATTTTCACTATTATATACCAGAATATTGGACATTTAGCCTACATAATTGAGAAAAAAGTATGGAAATATTGGAAATTAAATCACATACTTATTAATAATTTCTCACATTAAATTAATATCTGAATTAAAATATGTTTCATGAAAATCTCAAAGTACAAAATAATTACCAAAAATAGTTGCCTTTTCATGTGAGCAACAATGTAATATAACACAGTATAAAGTAAAAAAAAGTAAAAATAAAACATTATTATCATATATATGAGAATTTAAAAAACAAATATCTACTAGAAGGCATATGATAAAATTATATAAGTTTTAAGAAAAAGCTTTTGCTATTGAATATATTTAAATGATTTTATTTAATACTGGAAAATAACATATAACAATATATATGGTTCAATTTTTGTATACTATCAACTCATCTAGAAAAAAATAAGTAAAAATTAAATTGAGTAAAATGTTTTTCATAGACCCAATAGGCTTACTATTGCTAAGCCTTTACAACTGGGATGTAGTCAACAGATTTTAAGAAATAATTCATTTTAAAAATGTACAGTAAATAAAATATATGTTGTTTTTGTTATAAAATACAAATTTACTAAATTAGATATCAGTTTTTACCTATGAAAATTATAATATTTATGAATTAATAAACTAAGGTTTACTAGAGATACATACTCTTTTTATCACACTACTAATAAAAGTTTATATAGCTAAAATAAAACATAATGGAACACTTGGTAATATACATTCAACAACCCAAGTTCGGTGTATTCTTTGACTTTTTACTTTATTCACTGTATTGTGTTTTATTATGGACACTCCCCAATACAAACAAACAAACACAAACTCATTGAATTTTCCTTTGGGTTTTTGCTATACAAAATTGATTTTTCATGGCTTACCCATATTTTTGAAAGTATCTACAACATCATATCCTTGATATTTTTTACTCAAAATAATCAAATAAAAATAATAAAAAAGAATAAAAATGAATTATTTTATTTTTGGCCTTCAAATATGTCAGTATTATCATATATTCCACCTCTGAATCATATTTGATTGCATTATTTTCCTTATACTGTCATGATCTCTCTCTTAATCCATGCTCATTATTTTTGATTTAGACAGTAACTGAGTTACTCACCTCCTTTCTTTATCTCTTCTACCTCTTTAATTCATTAACCCATTTTAGCCCACTTGGTTCAGATAATATACAGGTAAATGGGTTGAAAATACAGAAAATAAACAACGTTCTCATTCAACAACGTGCTCTGGATTGGACAAAAAGATTCTAAAATAGAGATTAAAAAGTTCATGTCAGATAAAAAGAAACTCAGTTAAGGACTTACTCTAACCCTTGAAGGATATAATGGCAGAAAACATTGGCAGATACAGGAGCAATGAATTCCAAGTAGATGGAGCAATGTACTGATAATCTAAATCTTGAAAGTACTAGTGTACTCACAAGTTAGTGTGTCTAGAAATTAATGAGTAAAAAAAGTGAGTGAGTGATCTTTGATCCATTTAGAAAAGTAAGTGAAAGCAGAGCATTCAGAGTTTGGTAGGGCATTGTAAGGAGCTTTAATTTTTTTTTAAAACAGTGGAAAATCTTTACATATATTAAGAGGGAAACAGATGGAAACTCTTCTGATCTGTTTGAACAGATCATCCCAGCGCAATTAACATTGAAAATATAGTTGCAATTCTATTAATTTCTGGGTTGGAAAACATTTATTTCAAGTGTTTATTATTTATTTACTTTTTATGCTTTGATTTTTATCTCATTCTAGGAAATTGTTAATTTTAATCATTAATTTAAGAATATACTTTACAGACCTTTTTTTAAATTTTGCTTTGTTTTGTTTCTGTGAATCACTGACAGAACAAATTATTGCTTCTATCCCACAAAATTATCATTTTCTGTAGTTTCTGCATTTCGCTAGAGATTATTTACTTTGGAAGTAAAACTGTGGAATGTCTAAGATAAAATGTGAATGACTACGTTTCATGAATTTTAGTTTGTGTTTAAATCGGTAGCCTTAAATATTTATGAGAAAAAAATGAAAAGGATGAATTTAAGACATAAACAGCTATGTCATGTATGTAATAAGACAAAAAACACAAAATTATTAAGAGGAAAATAAAAATTAAACAAATTGAATATATGAAAACAGTATAGTTTAGAAAACTTAAAAATTATAGATATGCACTATGTGTGTCATAGCACATGTACTATATATAAATAATGTATAGTTAGTTGATCCTGTATATTATACTTTTATACAGCATAAAATAAATTGGTGTAGTCATTATGGAAAAAATCATGGTAGTTCCTCAAAAAATTAAAAAATAGAACTACTCTATGACCCATCAATCTTACTTCTAGGTATATATCCAAAGAAAGAAATCATTTTCTTGAAAAGATATCTGCACTCTCCTGTTCACAGCAGCACTCTTCACAATAGCCAGGATATGGAAACAGCCTAAGTGTTCATCACTGGCTGAATGAATAAATAAAATATGATACTGCAGATAGATATGACCTTATTCAGTATTAAAAAAAAAAAAAAAAAAGAAATCCTGCCATTTGCCACACATGGATGTATCCATAGAATATTATGCTAAGCTTAGCAAATAAGTCAGGCATATGATCTCTCTCTCTTTTTCTTTTGAGACAATGTCTGGCTCTGCTGCTCAGGCTGGAGTGCAGTGGCAAGTAATCTCGGCTCACTGCTAACTCCACCTACTGAGTTCAAGCCATTCTTGAGCCTCAGCCTCCGGAATAGTTGGGATTACAGGCATCCGTCACCATGCCTGGGGCTACTTTTTGTGTTTTTAGCAGAGACGGGATTTCACTATCTTGGCCAGGCTGATCTTGAACTCCTGAACTTGAGATCCACCCACCTCTGCTTCCCAAAGTGTTGGGATTACAGGCGTGAGCCACAGTGCCCAGCCCATCTCTCTTATATGTGCAACCTAAAAAAGTTTAACTCTTAGAAACAGAGTAGAATGAGGGTAGCCAGGGGTTGGAGGGTGGGGGAAATGGTTGAATGCTGATCAAATAATGCAAATGTTCAGTTAAACAGGATGAACCAGTGAACAAGTTCTGGAGCTTTAAAGTCAGTATAGTGACCATAACAAGTTATACTAAATTGTATACTAGATATTTGCTGGGGGAATGTTTTCAGAACAACAAAAAGGAAACCATGTGAATGGTGCACATCATCACATTGCACGATGTAAATAAGAGCATACTTAATTGTTCAACTATACATCAACAAATCTAGGGGGACAAAAAAAAGAGAACATAAAATGGGACCAAAAATGAGGACTTAAAACATGTTTTCTGTCATATTTATGAAATTGTGCTTAAAATTATTCTATAGTATTTCCCTATAGAAAGGGGGAAATACACATTTTAGACCAGAACTTTTGTGTTTTTGTACTGAGCAATTATGTGATATAAAACATTTGGATTTTTCTATAGATAATTAGCTAAGTGTAACCTAGCAGTAGCAATTAGAATACTGTAAATAAGGCTGGGCACGGTGGCTCACACCTGTAATCCCAGCACTTTGGGAGGCCGAGGTGGGTGGATCATGAGGTCAAGAGATTGAGACCATCCTGGTCAACATGGTGAAACCCCGTCTCTACTAAAAATACAAAAAATTAGCTGGGCACGGTGGTGCGTGCCTGTAATCCCAGCTACTCAGGAGGCTGAGGCAGGAGAATTGCCTGAACCCAGGAGGCGGATGTTGCGGTGAGCCAAGATCGTGCCATTGCACTCCAGTCTGGGTAACAAGAGCGAAACTCCATCTCAATTAAAAAAAAAAAAAAAGAATACTGTAAATAATTTCAACCTGAAATATTTTCAGAGTACGGCAATAATAAATATAATTTATTGCCTTACGATGGCTGTATTACTGAATAACTGCTTTGCAGGTTTGCAAATACCCGTTATTTTTTACTTTTCTGGATAAATTACTTCATTAATGACAAAAACATGAAACCAATCTTTATTTTATTTTATTTTTTTTCTTTTGAGATGGAGCCTTGCTCTGTCTCCCAGTCTGTAGTGCAGTGGCACTATCTCAGCTCACTGCAACCTCTGCCTCCTGCCTCCTGGGTTCAAGTGATTCTCCTGCGTCAGCTCCCCAAGTAGTTGGGATTATAGGCATGTGCCACCACGCCCAACTAATTTTTGTATTTTTATTAGTGATGGAGTTTTACTATGTTGGCCAGCTGGTCTGGAACTCCTGACCTCAGGTGATCCAACCATCTCGGCCTCCCAAAGTGCTGGGATTACAGGCATAAGCCACCACAACCGGCCAAAGATCAACTTATTCTTCATTTTGCAGAAATGATGCTTCACAAAAGTGCCAATGTATGCTTTAATATTTTCTGAGGATATGAATAGCATTTTTTCAATATTTTTATTTTAGTAAATGTGTTATATCTACAAAAGGAAATGGAATAAAATATTTTGAGAAAAAATGAAAACAGTTTTATCACACTTGCCATTTCAATTCATCTAAAACAAGACACATGTCAACTGGAATGTACCATGCATTATTGTATTGATTTATTTTAGTTACACACCAATACACATACACACACAATACTATGGAAGAAAGTTAAAATGTTTTATGGTTATTTAGTATACTCTCATGGTATAGAACACTATGCAAAGGAAAAAATAATAAATTAATTGACATAGAATACATTTTATACATATGTGAGAATTAGCTGTCATTCAATCTGTAACTCCTTTATACAATACTTCCTATAGTAAAGTATTACAACCACAGTAAGTAAATTCTTTTGAAATTAGCTGTGGATATTTCAAGCCTCATGAAAATAAAGTATGTTGTTTGTAAGGGTTACAATAGAAGATTAAATATCTATAGGAGCTATAACTCCCAAGATACCATAGTGGTATAGATTACCCATAAATCCTATGAACCGTAGCTATTCCTATCAAAAGAGTAACAGCCACTCTGTAAGGTGTCAGGAGGTTATAAAGGAACTTGGCAGTCTTATGAACCATATCCATTTATTTTATAGGAACATGTACCAGTACTTCCTTTATGAGATTTACGAGTATTTCAATAAAAAGACATTATTGAAAAAAGTAATTGCAGTAGTAGTGATTTCTTTAATTTTGTACTTTTCAAAAAAACACTAATCCACTTATGGAAAATAATAAACCTACCACTTAACTTTTACGAATGTCAGCTAAAAAGATTTCTTTCTGCCTGTTACAGATATTCCCACAATTCCACAACAATCTATTCCCTCAGTATTACTCATTGAGTTTATATACTCTAAACTCAGCAATTAATAGATTTATTACCAAAAGGATGACATTAGAAGTTATAATACTTAAGCCACTATTATGTTTTTTTTAATTGTACCTATAACACTCGAATTTTAAAATCAATAAACACATATAATCATTGATATTTACTGAATATATCGATGTTTTTAGATAATTTAACATTTTTTTAATTGTACCTATAACACTTGAATTTTAAAATCAATAAACACATATAATCATTGATATTTACTGAATATATCGATGTTTTTAGATAATTTAACATTTGACTATATTTAGTTTAAGCTGTATAATTGATATAATTTAATTCATATTTATTATTGTTTTGAAAAATTACTTTTAGCTGCAGGAATCCCTTTCTTTCACATATTAAATGACAAAGTTGCAAAAATTGCTGATTTCATTTCATGACTAAAATATATTAAGCAGTTGGGCATGGTGGCTCACACCTGTAAGCTCAACATTTTGGGAGGCTAAGATGTGAGGATTTCTTGGGGCCAGGAGTTCAAGACCAGCCTGGGCAACATATGAGAACCGATTCCATGCAAAAAAATTAAAACAAAAATTTAGCTGAGTGTGGCAGCATGAACCCGTATTCCTAGCTACTCAGGAAACTGAAGTGGGAGGATTGCGTGAGCCCAGGAGTTAGAGGCTGCAGTAGCCAAGGTATACTCAAATTAAATTTTCATGAACATATGAATAAAGGAAATGTGGTATACATATAAAATGGCACACTATTGAAATATAAAAGAGAAATAAATTTTGTCATTCATAGAAACATAGATGAGCTTGAAGGACATTATGTTAAGTGAAATGAGCCAGGAGCAGAAGAAAAATAGATCTCATGTTCTCACTCATGCGTGGAAGCTAAAATTTGGTATCAGAGAAGTAAAGAGTAGAATAGTCATTACTAGAAGCTGGGAAGGATGGGAGGAGAAGGGAATAGCCATAGTTTGGTTAACAGATACAAATTTACAGCTAAATAGGAGGACTAAGTCCTAGTGTTTCATAGCACTTTGGTATTACTATAATTAACAACAATTTGTTGTATATTTTCAAATAGCTAAAAGAGCAAATTTTGAATGTTCTCAACACAAAGAAATAAATGTTTGAAGTGATGAGTATGCTAACAACTTTGGTTTGATCTTTACACATTGTATGTACACATAAAAATTTCATATTGTATCTCATAAATATATACATTATGTAGAAATTAAAATTAATAATACAATCAAAATATAAAGATGCTACAATGTTAGAAGCAGACGAAGAGTTTAAGATGCTACAATCATGCTGGATTTTAAGGCATAGGAAATGGCCAAAGTCAGGATATACAAACCGCCTCTAGAAGCTGAAAAGTTTAAGGAAAGGAATTCTCCCCAGGAGCCTCCAGAACGAACTAGCTCTGTTCACATCTTGACTTTGGACCCATGAGACTACTTCTGACCTCCAAAGCTGTATTATAATAAACATTTGTTGTTTCTGTGGCTGGAGGTAGTGATGCACAGCTGTAGTTCAGCTATTTGTAAAGCTGTGGCAGGAGGATCACTTGATCCCAGTAGTTCAAGCTTGCAATGAGCGATTATTGTGCCACTGCATTTGAGCCTGGGCAAAGGAGTGAGACTCTACCTGTAAACAAATAAATAAATACGATTTGTTTTAAGATACTTTTTGGTAATTTGTTACAGCTGCCACAGGAAATTAGTGCACCTGGGAATTAAAACTTACATCTTTCTCAAGGCCACAGGAAATTGTGGAAAGTCCACCATATTGAGGGTTATGAAGGAGAGTCTTTTATTTCCAGCACAGCATAAAAACTTCTGAGTCCTTTCTCCAAATATGAAACCCAATCTTTCTTTCTCCTTCCATGTCTTGCTTTGAAAAAGAAGTATTTGAGTTGGTAATAATTCGGTGCCTACAATCTAGCCACCTTAGAGAAACTGTAGCCTGTTCCTTCAGAGATATGCTACTGTCCCAGAGCCTAGATACAAAACCTGATCTGTGTGTCTTTGTTAGATAAAGAATAGAACAGAGAAAGAATAGAAGGAATCTATTCAGGTTCCTAACCTATTTCTTAATTGGATTATTTGTTTTCTTTCTCTAGAGTTGTTTGAGTTCCTTACATACGTTGGATATTAGCACTTATTAGATTTATGGCATGCTAATATTTTCTCCCAATTCGTAAGTTGCCTTTTCACTCTGCTAACTGTTCTCTTTGATGAGCAGGTTTTTATTTTGATGTAATTTCACTTATCTATCTTTGTTTTCATTGCCTAGACTTTGCAGGGTCAAATGTCAAAAAAAAAAAAAAAATTGGCCAGACTAATGTAAGATAGTTTTTCCTTTAGGTTTTCTTCAAATAGTTCTAAGGTGGTTTCAGTTCTTATGTTTCAGTCTTTAATCAATTTTGAGTTAATTTTCTTAGATTATGTGAAATGAGAGTCCAATTTAATTCTTTGAACAGAATTCAGTTTTAACAACACCAGTTGTTGAGAAGACTATACATTTCCCATTTGTATATTCTTGATACCTTTGAGGGAGATCAACTGACTGAAGATGTGTGGATTTATTTCTGAGTTCTCTATTTTGTTGCATTGGTTGATGTGTCAGTTTTTAAGGCTAGTACCATGCAATTTTAATTCCTATCACTTTGTAGTATAGTTTGAAATCTGGTAGTGTAATTCCTTCAGTTTTGTTATTTTTGCTCTTTTTGCTCATGATTCCTTTGTCTATTTGCATTTTTTATGGTTCCATATAAATTTTAGGATTTTTTTCTTATTCTATAACAAAGATACTGGAATTTTGATAGGGATTTTATTGAATCTGTAGTTCACTTTTGGTAGTATGGAAATTGTAACAATATTTATTTTTCCAATCCATGAACAGATATATCTTTGTATTTATTTGTGTATTCTTCCATTTCTTTAATTAATAGCTAAAAATATTAAAAATTATTGATACTATTAATCATTAGGAAAATGAAAATTAAAACCACAGTGAGATACTGCCTCACACCTTTTAGAATGGGTCTGATCAGAAAGAGGAAAGAAAACAAGTATTGGCAAGGATGTGTATCAAAGAGAATCCTTGTACAATGTTCCAGAAAATGTAAATTAGTACAACTCTTATAGAAAATAGTATGGAGATTCCTGAGAAAACTGAAAATAGAATTACCTATGATCCCTTAATCCCACTTTTGTCTGAAAATTTAACCAAAAACATAAAATCAGTATGTGGAAGACATGTCTACAATCCCACGTTTATTGCAGCATATTCATAATGGCCATATTATGGACTCAGGCATCCATCAAATGATGATTGCATAAACAAGATGTTGTATGTATACAAAATGTCATACTACAAAACCTCAAAGGCCTAAAGACAGAAATACCATCTGACCCAGAAATTCCATTACTGAATATATACCCAAAGGAATATAAATCAACTTTAAAATAAGGAAGAAATTCTGCCATTTGCAGCAACATGGATGGAATTGGAGAAAATTTTGCTAAGTGAAATATGCCAAACACAGCAAGAAAAATACTACATGTTCTCCCTGATATGTGTAGGCTAAAAACAATGAACTCGTAGAAGCAAAGACTAGAAGGTGGTTATGAAAGGCTAGGAGGTGAGGAGAATAGGGAGATGATAGTCTGTTGGGGTCCGGCACATCTGCCGGGGGGCTACTGACCTGCGGGAGTCCCCATGACCACCAACCCCATGACCATCAACCTGAGGGAGAGAGCACACGGAAGTGAAAGAAGAAAGTAAAGCGGAGTCTGGAGGTCTGAATGACTTGTAGTCAAGCAGCAGCTTTATTTTTGTGGGTCACAGCTTTTATACCTGTTTTCTTGTTACATTTAATTTAGCTCAGCAGAAAAGGGGGCAAACAGAAAAGGGAACAGAAATCACGTAAAAACAGTTATCAGGGGCTTGTGATAACAGCTCACAAAGCAGTTTTAAAGGGGCTTGTGATAATAGCTTACAAAGCAGTTTTAAGGGGGCTTGTGATAATAGCTTACAAAGCAGTTTAAGAGTTAATATATGTTTTTCAAAGATACACAGTGCAAGCAAACAATGGTTCCCTTAAGGTGGCTTGTTAATCATGTTTTCCATCAGGAGGTACAACAGAGGCTTAGCTCCTGAGAAAATATGGGCGGGGGTCTTTGCCCCTCTCAGGCATCTCAATTGCAGCAAGCCTATTGCTTACACAGAGACTAAAGGGGATATGAAGCAGTCAGCACAATGTCCTCATAAACCGCAGGCCCTTACTCTGCATTCTGTTTTTGCCTCAGTGGCTTAGCCATTTTTACCTTGACTCAACAGCCCTCGAGAGCTGGGGGAGAGCAGATAGGTCCAGCAGCCAAGATGGGGTGAGTCACGCTAACTGTCTCAAGCCCTTGGCATGAACACTGCAATAGTCAAAGAGTACAAAGCCTCAGTTAGGAGGAATACTTTTAAATTTTTAAATCACTAACACACCATGTCAACTATAACTGTACAATTCAGTATTGTTAAACTTGTCTGTACACAATTATAAAAAAAAGATCTGCATTTTAGTTTGAATCTTGCCAAATAGTCTGTGGATATTTCATTCTCCACCCCCACCTTTTTTTGTTTGTTTCCATCTACAACATATTTCTTGACCCTTCCTCCCCTAGGACACTAGTTTAACCCTGTGGATTGGTAAAAAGCAACAAACACAGTGTAACCTCTTACTGGTCTTGGCAAGAACCTTAAATCAGGACAAAAATCATTCAGGCTACACTAATAAAAACAATTGGGACATAAGTTTAATCAGGAATATAGAATCTGTTACCATCCTAGGGAAACTAGAGGTAGTTTCTTCCTTCCACTTCTGCTAAGGGACATGCAATAATTTCATAACATGGTTTAATTTCATTTACATTAATTGTTGTGAGTCTAAAAAATAAGGTAAACTTTGTTCTATCACATTTATTGTCAAGCAATGGAGGGTAATTTTGCTTGAGTAGCTTTTGTCTATTCTTTTTTCTTAACTGATTAGTTAAATAACTTTTTAAAGACTTTACACTACTCAGAGTGTTCAATGGAAAAATAGTCTACAGGACAAAACCAAGAGTCAAATGTCACCTCATTTTGAATTTTTTACTCTTTGTGCTCTTAGTTTGAAGAGTCATGACTTGGACAATGTCTAATACCTATAGTATCAGGGATACTGGGAATAAAATAAATTGTCATAAGATGCTGACTGCTAAGCCTCTCTGCTGTTGTGACTTTATACAGGCTATTTCCCGAATATTAGGTATCTATCATAGCTGAGTTGGGTTTGCAGGGTCAGTACTGAATATTTAAGGGTTAATCTGATAGCAACTCACACTTTCTAGGTATAAAATTCTTCAATCTTAAATCATGTAACCAAGGACTGTATAATTATGACACTATAATAATATTTAAGACATGAGTTTATTGTACTATAGTTATTGTTCAGCTAGTGAAACAATTCCAATATCTTCTCTAAATAACAATTTAAAAATGTCTTTCTAATAAATCAAACTAAACCATATGAACATTTTGTGAAAATTTATATTTATACATATTTCATCAAAGTAGCATCCCTAATTAGATGAATGATGGACTGAATAACCAATTTTATTGTTAATTTTTCATTCTGACATCCTATTCCATTTATTTCAATTATAATGTTTTATGTATATTATGAATTATTTGTATGATAAATTAGCTCATGCATTTTTAACAAAAAAATTGTGCTAAAGAGAGCATGGTATTTGATAAAATTTTCCTCAAATAAGGGCAGAAATTCTGACATAAATATACATATTTATTAAAAAATATCAACACTTTTTAATTTTGGTTTGTAATTCTTAACACAATGTTTGTACTAACTGTTAAGATATCAAAACAAAATTTAAGAATTACCCAATGTAATTAAATAAAGTAGTCAGATATTTATAGAATACATTAATTGTTATTGGAGATGTGAATTTGCCAACTGGGAAAAGTCCAACACAAACAGTTTGTTAAAATTATAAATATTTAAAGACAGTAAAGTGTGAAAGAAAAGAAAGAAAGAAATTATTCTATTTGCCCATATGATTGTCTGTTTTGGTTTGTAAAATTGTATCTCTTTTTTCACTAATTTTGCCTTTTCAGACAATAAAAATATAAATACAAATCAATTCTTTTGAAATGAAAATAGTCTCAGTAAGGGGCTTGGTCATTTCAAATATGAAATTCTGTGTGCATGTATATGTATTCTTAATAAAGTAATTAATTTATGCTATTATCACTATTAGTTGACATTGTCTTGTTAAGAAAAATGCATTAAAAGAATAAAAGTAAGTCTGAGCTCTAGCAATAGGACAAAGTATGTATAAATATTAGTCTTTATTACCAGGATTTTACAAAAGAGAGCCTATGGTAAATTTATGTAAATTACTAAGCAGCAATCTATTTATCACAAATCTATTCAAATTGCAAGGCAAGTTTGAAATTGTGATAGATCTTTAAAAAGACCACATTTTTTGCCATCCCTGTCTGAATATCCTTTGCAATGTGACTTTTATTTATTTATTTATTTTGGATAAATTTAAAAGGTACAAGTGCTATTTTATTACATGAATATATTGCGTAGTAATGAAGTCTGGGCTTTTAGTGTATCCATCACCTTAAAAATGTACATTGTATTCATTAAGTAATTTCTCATTACCTACCCACCTCTGAACTCTGCACCTTTTTAAGTTTCCAATATCTATCACTCCATACTCTATGTTGATATATACACATATTCTGCTCTCACTTATAATAAGGGAGAACATAAAGTATTTGCCTTTTGGTTTCTGTGTTATTTCTAGTGTAAAATATGTGCAATTAATCTAAGTCTTCTTTTAAATAACACGACACTGTTTCATGGGTAGTGTGAGGATTCTATAATA